ATATATATATATATATATATATATATATATATATATATATATATATATAAGTATTTATTAAGCATTGGATTGAGTTGATACTTAGGCTTACACTAAAACTGGAAGTAAAAGAATATGACTTGAATAAAAATGGAACTAACACAACTTCAGTGGCAATACCTCCATTGCCAACGACCACAATACGCTTTGCGTTCTTCATTTTATCCCGTAATCGATCAAGTGTTTCGGTGTCACGAATTGAGATGATTTGCGGATGAGACCAACGATGCTTGGGACGACCGCCGGTCGCGATACACAACTTATCATAGCTTATTTCATCACCACTTTCTGTTTTCAGATTCTTCAATTTCATTTAGAATTTTATATTTTTCTCGATTGAAAGCCATAAGAAAATGTTCAATATGATCACTATTAAGTAACTGTGTATTATTTTAGGTCAAAACTGCAATTATAATTATTCGTATGATGTGAGAGAAAAGTTCAATCGCCTTATGGTGGTTGTTTTTGCGTTGCAATATTCAGGTTTTAACCTAGATTCAGACTCAGACGCATAATCAGATTCCGGTTTTGAATTAGCGGTGAGTAGTACGTTCGAACCGACCCGTATGCTGTATGCTCGCTGCATCAACAAATCTGCGCCAATAACTGTCTTCATTTTCACTATAGAATCAGGTTTTGCATTACTTTCCTTAGTAGGAAATAAATTTCGAAACGTAATCAAATCAAATAAATGAACCTTTTGCTTGGCGTTCCACTGGACAACTTTATTGGTAATAATTTTAATATTTGTCTCGTTCGTAAACGTGCTGCTCGCCTCCTTCTCGCACACATCAAATGACTCTGTGAGTTGACCGATCTGAACAAGAATCATTCCTCTCCAACTGCTCTACCTCTTACTTATTGCTAATATCCTCCCATTCTGTGCTCATCAATAAACTTTACGAAATTTTTGCTTCACAAAAAAACAAGAAAAACAAAGTCAGTTTCTAATTACACACGAGGAAACTGTTCTCATCAAACAATCCATCATATCATTAGTTTGCAAACAGATGAAAAGAAGACAATTAGCAAAGAAACGAACGCACCAGGAGACGATTGGTGACAACTTTGAGTAAGGGTGTAGCAGTGATTAAAGTGATCGGAGCGTTTGAGTCGATCGAGCGTATCTCTTCGGCACAACACACTGCCGCAATGCCCCCACCAACGATCACATACTCGGTGCTATTGCACGCTTTCTTTGACGTACTCATTCCTGAATATCCTCTTACTGATCAAACGCGAACACGCATCGATGAATACCTCAGAATGCTAATCAAAAATTCGGTTGAAGAAGAATGTTCATCAAAAAATTTGTTCGTAAACATTTCAAAAATTCAACCTTCAACACATAAATATCGAAAACTGATAGAAGATGATGGCTAAGCAAAACATTTGCTATCCAAAATGTTTAACCAAGGCAATCAATTACTATCAATTCGTAAACAGTCGTGCATCTTCAATTGTAAGATTGGTGAGTTTCAATGCTTCTGTTTCAATTCTGGATTTAATAAGTATTCAGTTATTATTAGAGATAATAATGAAATGTTTGAATCTGTATAAAAGTGTGGTGTAAGCACTGCGTAAAACATTCATTCGCTTTTCTATTGCAAATATGTTTTCGGTCGATTCGAACGAGCCAAAAAAATCGCCAAATTTGTTGAAATAAATTGGAAGTATCAAAGTTTATGTGGCATATAGATATTTTAATTGATATGTCCACGAACAAAATCAGAAATCAATTAACTAAAAAACAAATTGGCACTTAAAAGTTGTCACAATAAATCAACAACAACAACAGCAACAGCTCAGGTGGACGGCTGTTGATACACGCGAAAACGAAATTTCAGAATTCGCATTTTTTGAATGATGACAACGACGATACTGATACGACTCATAACAATCATAAAGACATTAAAAAATGAGTGAATAAACACCAATGAAAAAAGGCAATATGAATGAAATCAAATCATTAGAACAAAGCCATTCAGGCACTGAATAAACAAGCGTTTAATATCATAATAATGACAATTACAATAGGAATAATAATAATAACAGTAATAAAAGCAGAACTGAAATAAGAGAACCGGTAAAGAGAAATGAATTGAAAGAGAACCTGAAATTACACACATGAAAACTTTCATTGTAGCAAAAAATTGAAATCAATCATAACCACAGCAACAATCACATTAGTAATAATAATATTAAAAACCTCAATGAAAACAACAACAAAACAATTCAAAACCTATCCGTAGAAATCAAATAGCCTTCAGAACGTTATCCAGAAGACTGCTCGCACCAAAACGAAACAAGTCTGCGTTCAACCATTCCTTACCTAACAATTCCTCTACGATAACACGATAGGTCAACGCGTCTAACGCGGTTTTTAAACCACCAGCTGGCTTGAAACCTACACGTTTTCCTGCAAAAACCTTCGTTAATATTACAATTAAACTAATAATAAAATATATTATATGAGCATACCGGTAAGGTCAAAGTAACGTTTAATTGCTGAACACATCACATACGCTACTTGTGGGGTAGCGTTCACAGTTTCTTTACCCGTTGACGTCTTTATGAAATCACTTCCTTAAATATCAGTATGACTGTCACTAACAGTAACTTTGTTATTTGTTCTATCAATCAATAATACACAAATAAATAAACGATCAAGTAAATAAGTACCGGCAAGCATCGCCGCCCAACTGGCCTTATAAATATTTTCATAATTCTGCAATTCACCAGTAGCCAAAATTGACTTCAAATGCGCTTTCTTCTGACAATTTTCTTTAAACTGATTTATTTCATCATGAACACCTCAATTCATAACATTTAATTCATTTAGGAGTACAATCATGCATTCATTATCCAGTAAAACTCACAGCTATTAGACAATGTTGTTAGTATTATTATCTATTATTATAGCGATTATAACACTCAGTTACAATCATAATAAACAATAATAATAATGATAGCAATAATAAAAATAGTAATAATAATAACAATAATAAATACAAACATTTCCAGTTTTGCTCCAAAGCCGCAGCTCGATTGATAACGATATCAACCTCGTCCGCGCCATCTTCGACAGCTAATTTCACTTCGAGAACACGACTTTCCAAACGGTACTGACCCGAAGGGAAGCCAGCCGCTACTTGAAAGTAATAAACATAAATAATTATAACAGATTTTAACAAAAATGATGCGCCTCACCAGTTGCTATTCTCATTTTTTCATGTTTCGTCGATATATATTTTCTCGCGTTCGCCACACGAGCCGGATAGATGCAGATGGCCGCACACTGCACTTTGGCATCCTGGCAAATACTGATGTTATTATCATCATTGCTATTGTTAAAGTGATAACTTTGTTATTTTTGCAAAGAAAAAAGGATTCGACTCAAAATACTCCACAGAGCGTTAATCAACAATGCAGACACACCCTTACATTTGATATGGGCTTAACAGCTTTATCGATAAGATTTTGCACTCGTTCATCGGTATCATCACCTGATAAGGTTGTTAAATCAATATGACCGATTATTTTCGTCAGTTCACTCTTCTGAAATGAACACAGCTGTTAATCATTACCTCACCCATTATCATTACCACCACAGTTAACCCCATCACTTTATTGTTGACCAATCAAAATGCTCACATCTATTGACTAAAAATACGATTTGAACATACATCATTCACAAGCGATTTTGCCTTTTCGGTAAATCTCTTGACAGCCTCTTCAACCTGATTCACATCGAAATGTATCGTTTTGGTTTCATCTTCAAAAGTTTTCGCATCGAAACCCATTGTTACTGTTATAATAGATTTTTGTTAGTTGATATTATTTACTGATGGAGTTGTTGTTGTCAGTTCAATGATTTACCTTTAATGAAACACAAATTCATTTGAGTAATTTACTTGTATTCTTAGCAATAAAGGGATAATATTTTAATAATAACGACATCAACATAACAACAATATCAATAATAACAATTACAATAATTATAGTCATAATATTAATAATAACAAGAACACTTATAAAATGACGATTGAAAATTTAGTAATGATCTACGAATGATGATTACAATAGCAATAATAACAACAACACTAGAAATAACAATTTTGGAACGATGACTTAACAACTACAACTGAATCTCTTCTGAAAATTTATTATCATTATTATTATTATTATTATTATTATTATTATTATTATTATTATTACCACACCGAGAAGATGAATCAAAAATATAGTGGCCAATCGCGTCAATGAATCGTTGTTGCTAAGGCACTGGCTATTGTAATGAATTTCATTGCTTACAATTAGTGTTACCATCACTGATGAAAGCAACAGTAGTAAAATTCTAAATTGGTTATTGAATAAATTTTTAAAAGAATGAAGCCGTATTGATGTGGTCGGCCAGTGCACTGTTGATTCTATTCCTCGATGTTTAATAATAATAATGATAATAATTAATAATAATAACAGTAATAATAGAAATAATAATAATAATAATAATAATAGAGATAATAATAGAGGTATAATAATTAATAATAATAACAATAGAAGTAATAATAATAATAATAATAATAATAATAACAATAATAATAGTAATAATAGAAATAATAAAAACAATAATAATAACAATAATAATTAATTTTCAGAACGGATTCGACTATAGTTTTGAAGTCATCGATGGAAAATTATTATTGCTTGAAGTGTATGATTATTGCAACAAATGAATAAATAATCAAATAACTACACTCGAACGATGTGATACGGGAAGATGAAGAGCAACAACAATGAGAAAGAAATAATACGATTTAAGATGTACGTGATGATTTGAAAGTAATACAATTGTTGTTGTAAAGTGAAATGAATTTCCAAGGAATAACACAATTCAATGAATATTCATCTGTAAAACAAACAAATGAAAACTACAATAGAACTGTTGATTAAACTGCTCGTTGCGTGCTACTTGTGCTATTGCTGCATCAGCACAACCAGCCAGTCAGTTCATTATAAAACAAACACGTTCGTTGATTTCTTCCAGCCCGTTATCATTACCTTCTTTTCAATTTTTATTCCTTTTCAAATAATTTTAATAATAAAAAAAACATGATCATATGTAATAATAACAACAACAAGGCAATACTTTACAACTAGCACAAACTATAAAAAGCACTAGCCAATGCTCTCTAGTTGTTTACATTGATCGAGCGATAGCGGCAGCAACAGCAGCAGATCACAATCGAAAGTAACTGTGCAATAGTATGTCTCACACACACACACCATTCTAAACTGCACTCTTATGCCACAGGGCATAATTAATATCTTTTTCTTTTCCTCTATAACGCACCATTTATACATCATCCTTTCATTATTCTTATTCATAAATATTCATTAGTGTCGTTATTTTAATATTCCATGAAAACAATCAAGTTTCGCGAATAATATCAGAAATTTTATGTGAAAATTCCAAAAAAGAAAACGAAACTAATAAATCAACAAAGCTGAACGAATTGGGAGATAAATTAAATGAGATATGAACACATAAATCACTGCGAACTAGTTAGCTAAAATAATTATGACTTTCTTTTTTTTGTTGTCAAATTGCTAATACAAAGTAAATGTGACGACCAACGAAATTTGATTTCTGTGATCATCAGTGAAGTGTTATCATCATCATCAGTGAAGTGATGTCGTTTCGACGTTACGCACGTGCAGCATTTTGGTTAAGCAAGCAAGTATTATTTCGTTTGAACAATCGAGCGCCAAGCCTTCTAAAAGCTATTGCTGTTTACAAAAGTCATCCGCAAATGACCGCGATTACATTCGCCAGAAAGGTTCTATCAAAATCATCCACAACAAGAGGTCTCTTGCAAACGGTACGTCGTCACGTTGTTCGTTGAGCAATTAATAGCAGTGCATTCACAAAGATACCTTCAATGCAACCTGTAATCTGCAGATGCGTCTAATCTTTCGTGGTGTCCGAACTCGAGCCATCGTACGTCCGTTTTCGGTTCTCGATCACAATCGATTAAGATACAACGAACGAGCGCATCGAAATGCTCGTTTTCGAGCCTGGTTTATCCTCTCAGACAGCAGCTCACCTGAAAATATTTTTGAACGAATCAAGGTAACAATAAAAACAGTATTGCTCCAAATAATAGCATTCTTAATAATGCTATTGTTAATGATAGTGACAATCATATCATTAGTAACTAATTTACACAATATAGTTTGTTTGCTCTTTCAGCAATTATTTCTCACAAACATTCGATACAATCCAAATTTATCAGATGACGAACTTCCTGCACGATTGGACGCATACGTTATCGGTATTAATTATAACTTCATTAACAATGAAAAGAATACTGTTCATTTATATTTTCTCCTTACAATAACTATTATTAATAATATTATTACTGCCATTGCAAATGCTGTTCTGAATGCATAAGTACGAATGAAATAACGCACATTAACTAGTTGGTGCTCATAACAATTTGTGTCACGATAAGGTGTTTCCTTCTTTGAGCCAGTCCTGATTTGAAGAAAATCATGTAAACTGTAGTATAACTGATAACGTTCCTTATGTTCTTCAATGTAAAGTACGAGCCTCTCTGACTCAAAGAACTGTCAGTGTATAAGAAAAACGTCGTTTTCGTTGCTGTAGAGAAAAGTGAATATCCACTGAGCACTAATCGGCCAATAGATAAGACCTACAATAGCAGTGTTAATTTCAGGTAGTAATATAGCTTGTGGATGTCACGCAGCCGTTTATGAGCTACGTTTAAGGAATCGTAGCGATTCACTCTCAAATGATAAAGATAATAGCAAAACAATTGAAATGGAAAAACAATCCGAAAATAACCCTTCGTATAATAATGATCCACTTGTTGTTAGTTACTTTTATTAGTATTATTAATATTATTTCAAAGAGTTCAGAAAAGATAACCTTGATTCCTTATGACTCAACGTAGCGCAATAGGTGTTACGATATTATTATTACTGTTAATATAATATATTCTTATTATTGATTCTTATTTTTGTTACCATAGATATATCCGTTAGCACTAAAAATAATGTTCAATTATCAATTTGATGCACCCGAACGATTATTATGGATCGATATGGGCCCAGAACTAATACCGTTCAAAAATGCGGACAAAATTCTTGGAAAATATTTACCGAAGTGAATTTTTATTCCAAAATTTAAGTGTTAGTTTGATTAAACTTTTAAAT